CACGGCGAGACTCCTTATGGGGTTTTCGCTGCGAGATCACATTCATCCGGTGCTATACCAGCTGCACTGGCTCCCAGTGGAGTACAGGATCAGGTTTAAGGTGCTGGTTTTAACCTTTAAAGCCCTATACGGCCTAGGACCCTCGTACCTACGGGACCGCCTCTCCTGGTATGTCCCACAGAGAAACTTACGGTCTTCAAATAAAAACATCTTGAAGGTCCCAGGCCACAGAGAGGTTAGGCTGGCTTCAACTAGAGCCCAGGGCTTTTTCGGCTGTGGCTCCGATCTGGTGGAACGCTCTGCCACAAGGGACTAGGGCCCTGCAGGACTTGACATCTTTCTGCAGGGCCTGCAAGACAGAGCTGTTCCACCAGGCCTTTGGCCAGGGCACAGCCTGACTCCCTCCTTCGGCAATCTTCATGGAGCTCTGGCCCAATGGTTGCCATTGGTTTGATTTGAATTAATTTTATAATGAATGATTTTAGAGTGTTGTGTTGTACTGTTGTACTGTTTTATTGTTGTTAGCTGCCCTGAGCCCGGCTTCGGCTGGGGAGGGCAGGATATAAATAAAATTTATTATTATTATTATTATTATTATTATTATTATTTCCCAGGCCATTCCGCAGTGAAATATCATTATCTTGAATGTACCTTTTGCACACAGCAGCAAAATGACATAGAGCTGAATCTGCTGAAAATATATAAATGCTTCGGTATCTGGGAAAATATCACCTGCGGAACACTTCAGTTTGGGCTCACGTATTTCGTTTATGCATTTTCCCGCATTTATATTCCCATTAATGACGCAAATTCTGCCCACACCTTTTGCTGCCATACAACCCCAGATCATCACACTGTCTGGGTGTTTCACAGTTGGTGTAATGCAAGTAGGATGTAAATCTTCTCTGATTCTTCTCCTCTTCTCCGATTAAAGAAACTCGCGTTTTTCATGCCATCACTACCAAGCAAGGTAGTGCCCTTTTTAAAAAAAAATAAAGTTTTTTATTTATACAACAAGAAAAAAGAAAAAAAACCACAAATACCAAATTACACATAAATTACAAAAATAACCA